CCCCCCGGTCTGGGACCGAGTCCGGGGAAACTGCATGTTTATTAGTTAACAGTGATCTAGTTAACAATAGATTCTGGTGGGGGAGGGCGTCGGCAGGCCACACTTTGAGGGACATTGCCATGAATTTTGTATTAGGAGCAACTGAGGCCCACAGTGTGAGCTGGCAACAGTCACGATTCGAACACAGGTCTCCTGTGTCCGGTTTCGAGTCCCCTGCTCCAAACCCTAAAACCCGGGAACAAAAGGGTCAAGAGCGGCCCCGGGGTCCAGTAGCCACCTGGCCCCCAGCGCGACTCGGGCCACTTCCTCGGCCAAGTCCTGGACACCGGATCCCACCCCCAAATTGCTACCCGCCCCCAACACTGGAATCCGTCCACATGCTGCTTGGCCTGCCCTGAGGCTACGCTCGACCACGCCCCTGGATCTCGCACCCCAATTCCAAACCCGGAGCTGGCTGGCGACACGCCCCCGCTCGGACTGACAACACACCGCCCGCGGCCGGGTACCCAAAAGCCAGCTCCGCGTAGTCCTCGCGGGCTGGAGCCATGTCCCTTCCGTGACCTTCAGGAAGACTCGAGGGCCCTGGCCCCGAGGGAGCAACCTCCCACACATCCACGCACTCTCCCACCCGTGGGGCTGCAGGCGTAACCCGCGTGGCTTTCACAGCCTACCCAGCAGTCCGCTGGAACCCGGGAGCCCTAGGAACCCTGGAGCTGGGGGGTTGCTGGATCCGCCCGAGCCCTTTCTCAGACGCGCCGACCCCGGAAGCAGGGCATCCGAGGGAGCGCACCGCGGGTCATGCACATCCGGGAGCCGAGCCCCGGCAGTGTCTGCCGCCAGGAGGGCGGGCGGGATAACTCTTCAGGCAGGTATGCGCTAGAAATGGGAACCGGGACGGGGGCCCCTGGACTGCAGTACCCTCGAGACCCCCCGCCCCCACCTCGCGTTATGTAGATGAAGAAACAGGCTCGGGGAGAGGCGACCTCGCCTGGGTCATTAACGATGCCTTGCAGAGCTGACAGGGAAGCGGCATCCCTGACTTCGGGTCTCGGCTCTTACTGGGGCAACGCTCAAGTGGACAGAGCCGCCTCTGGAGTCCGGAGGACCTGGGGTTGTGTCCTGCCTGGGACAGTTCTAGCTAGGTGATCTTAGGCAAGTCGCTTTCCCTCTTGGAGCCTCCTTTCCCTCCCAGCTTGTTTTTGAAGATGTGACACGTAGCAGGTGCTCAGTACATGCTAGTTTGGACCTTGGTCTGTGCTAAGGGAAAGGGAGCCATTGGTTTTAAACCTTCTGGTAAACCTTGTTTGTGACATCTTAAATATAAAGTTAACAAAAATTGTCCATTTTTTTTTAACCTGGCAATTTATGCTGATGTTTAGGATTATGGGTCAAATGGGGGTGGGGACGGAGAGTTTTAGCATACATATCAGTCACAATACAAGCAAAATGTCAAAAGCCAAGCCCCCCAAGCAAAGGCAGCCTCCTCTGTCTTGTAATATTAGTTAAGAGCATATAACACTGAGTCCCTTCTGTGTGTTGAGCTGGCTCTCAGGCCCTTGGTATTCATTGTCTAATGTACTGCTTGCTATGGAGTTGGTGTTATTTTCCCCATTTCATGGAGGAGGACACTGGAACTTAGAAATGATGATTTTCCCAAGGTCACACACACTAGAGGGAACAGATCTGTTCAACCCTCAAGCCTGGGTCCGGACGCATCGCCAGGGACTGAGCTCTGGCTTCAGCCCACTTCAGCTAAAAACGTGAAGAAAACATAACTGGTCAAGACAAGAAGAATCAAATAGGTGGGTGAAGGTCAAATGGAGTCAAGGAGGTAGCAGAGCAAGAGCATGCCCTCTCTCAGGCAGCAGGTCAGAGGGGAGTGGGTCACATAAGGCTCATCTGTTCTTCTGGTTCTCCTTCCTCTCCCAGGGTGGCAGTCACATCTGGGCCAAAGCCACCTTGAGGAGTCAGAGCCCGTGACCATCTCCACCTGGTTGGAGCCAGTGATCATCTTCAGCAGCTGATATCACAAGGAAGATTTAGGGACCTGGGAGCACTCAGGAGAGTCTTTCCCGGAGACATGGAGCTTGGGGGCCGAATGCTCTGGGCCCTCCTGTCTGGCCCCGGGAGGAGGGGAGGCACCAGGGGCTGGGCCTTCAGCTCATGGCAACCCCATCTGCCTCTGGCTGGGTCATTGAATGCCACAGAGCTGGTCAGCCACTGGACTGCAGTCTTTGAGAAGAGGGGCATCCCTGAGGCCCAGGCATCCAGTGAGTACATCGTGGCTCATGTCCTTGGAGCCAAAACAGTTAAGTGCAGAGTTGTCAAGAGGGCAGAAGAGGGGGGAGGGAGGACCCTGGGGAAGAACATCTGGGCTTTTCTGCCCCACTGAGAGTGCTGAGAGTGATGGGAATTTTCTGAAGGATTGTCTTAGGTAGATACTTATTCATTCATCTAATGAACTATTACAGTGTGTGTCAGACAGTAGGGGTCCAGGGATGACCAAGGTGGCCAGTGTTGGGCCCACAGGCATTGTCCACATAAACCTGGGTCAGGCCCCTAGATTGGGGAGCCAGCTGCTCACATTCTCTGTGGGGCAGTTTCAGAGCCTGAGACCAGTACTTTGGACCCAGCCCCTGACCTCTTGGCAGCTACAATGCATCCAGGAGCTGAGTAGCCGCCGATTGCAAAGGTGAGCACCCATGGGCCAGACCTTAGGGCTCTGTGTGGGGAACAGGTGTCTGGTTTCCCCCAGCCTGACTAATTCATGGTCAGGAAGGAGGAAAGTATTCAATGAGTGGGGAGGTGTTGTTATGAGGTATTGATGAGAGGGGGATCACGCAAGTAGAAAGGAAGAAGGGAGGGAGGGAAGGCCTTGGCTTGGCGCAGAGTCCTGGGGCACAGGAGGCATGACCCTACCTGACATTTTTGGTATCCCACAAGTGGTATCTCTCAACCCAGTCATGGTCCTGTTGGTCCAGGCTCTGGCACTGATCGCCCAGCTGCCCCCTCTGCAGGATGCCTGTGCAGTACATCCTTGGCGAGTGGGACTTTCAAGGACTCAGTCTGAAGATGGCCCCCCCAGTGTTCATCCCTCGCCCGGAAACAGAGGTAGGTGTGCAACTAGGACAGGGCCGGATGGAGTTAAGGGTGGTGTTTAGGGCACCTGTCTTGCCCCGGACTTCCTCCAGGGGGTGCTGGGACCCCATGATTATGGTTCTCAGAGGCCTTGCTCTTCCCTACTGGTGTCTTCTGGTTGGCGGGGTAGGTGGGGCCAAGAGTGCAGGGGTCTCCTGCTGGCCTCCTTGACTGTCCTCACATCTCAGGCCACTGCCCCAGTATGCAGGCCTGGCCTACCCAATCCATGGGGGGAAAATGCCCTCCTCCTCCTCAGGAGGCATGGGTGAAGTGGATAGGGTTCCAGCTGGACACCCTGAGGCCTGGTGCAGCTATGTGACCTCAGGTAAGTCACTGTCCTTTCTGGGCCCAGATGATAAGAGGGTTGGGCCTTCAGACTAGGGAGGCTGTGGAAGGAATCTGTGACTTGGCGGTCCTCTTAGATCTACTGTCTGGTCAGGTAATCCCCTCCTGTCCCTCAAATTACTAGGACTAGGGATTGTGTGGCCCCAGCATGCTGTCCCTGGGTGAGGCACCCTTATTCTGGGAGAGATGCTTTCTGTGGCCCTTCTTGGGCTTCCCCTTGACCTTGTAAGGAGTGACAGAGAGCAGAGCAGGTGAATGGAGCTGTGTGTGGGCTGATGGGCGAGCTAGAGGGCACCAGGTTCTGAGAAGGGGTGTTTCTCGAAAGGTACCCAGGCATACAACCATTCCTGGGAAAGATCAGCCTTCATTCACCTGCCCAAAATGGGACCCAGAGCCCTTCCTCACTTTCCTAGCCTCTCTCCCCTAGCTGAGAAACCCTCTGACCCCATGCACTTCCACATCATGTGGTTGAGAAGCCAGGTCCTTGCCTTACAGCCCAGTGTTGGGAGGGACAGTAGGGAATCTGAGAACTTCCTGAAGTCACAGGGCTGCCAAGGGGAGGAGAATGGGGGCAGTGTTCGGACTTCCTGACTCTGGGTCAGGGCCCCAAACCTCCCTTGGGGCTACCCCATCTGGGATTGGACGAGCTGGGATGGGGTGCAGAGATCCAGAGCAGGATGTGGCCTGCCACCTGTAGCCTCTTGGGAGGCTACTCTGTGTCTTCCCCAAGCCTTTGACCTCTTGCTGGGAGGTCACTCACTGTCTCCTGAGGCTGTCAAGGGTCAGGGCATGGGAGGGAAGCAACCATGATGACCTTTGAATCTCCTCAGAGCTGACTCGGCACCAGCCATGCGCTCCAGGGTTCTGAATGTCGGATGTGGACTTCCGGCTCCCATGTGGGGCCTCCCCTGCCATTCCTGTGTGGGTCTGGGCCAGGAGAGCAGCTCTGCTGCAAGGGGGAGGGGGAGGGAAGACAGAGGGGGAGGCTGTGGTTGGGAGGCCAGGTCCTCACCTCACTGTACAGACATTTCTGAGAACTTGCCAGGTTTGCCCCAATGTGAAGCCACACTGGGGGATGCTTTACCAAGAACTTGAGAGGACGTGGCCTGTGGCAGGGAGTAGGGAGAATGGGGGCAGGGAAGAGATCATGGTGCCTGTGTTCTTTCCATCCACTGAAGGGCAGTTTCTGATGACGGGGGCAGAAGTCAGAAATGCGAAGCTGTAGGTGGCATGTGGCCTGATGAGTTGGGCTTTCCCTGTGGGTGGGAAGGTGGCTCAATCCTCAGCCTGGCAGTGTGTACAGTGGGAAACCCAAGGCTGGGAGTGTGAACCATTCCTATCCAGCCTGGCGAGGTGAGGCTCTGTGGGGTGTAAGAGGCTCAATGCCTTGTCTGTGATTGGCTTGAGGGAGGCAATGCCACCCTCCTTGGGCTGCCCACCCAGAGCATCCTAATGGAGGGTGCTCACAGCACTCAGGTCCTGCTGAGGCCTGGGCCGACCTTTTGAGGGGGTATAGGGTCCTGCTGAGACAGCGGCTCCAGCAGAGCCAAAAGCTCCCTGTTCCCCACATTCCCTCCTATCCCCATCCCATCATGGTTTTGGATTCTTCCCTTATTCATCTGGAGGAGGTGCCCTGGGTCTGTGACCACTTGGCTTTCAGCCTTCCCTAAAGAGCCACCAGTTTCAGACTGATGGAGGCTGGAGGCTCTTCACTTGGTGAAGAGGAGAGTTTTTGGACTTTTGTGGGTGGTCTCTACCCTTAGACCCCAGGTGGTCCCATAGCCAGGATGATCCTCTGGAGTGTAACAGAGGGTACTGGTGGCCGTGAGGGCCCAGTCTCTCAGCTTCACACGCTGCCCGGGGTGGCTGTTCATGTATGTGGTGTGTGTCTCTCAGGTCAAGGGTGTCTTTGTGAGGAGGCTGGCCAAGAGGTCATTCTCCAACCAGAGTAGGTCTGTCTGTGGCCAGGAAACCAGGAGATGCTCACAGCCCTGACAAGTCTCAGCTCTCCTACCAGCCGCTCATACGTGGCCTCAGCACTGAGACCACAGTCTCCACCACAGCCTTAGGCTGCTTGCGCTATGTCAGTCCCAACACTGAGGGCCCAAATTGCTGCAAGCACCCTTAAAGTCTCCATTAGTGCCTGGTACAGGGCTGGTGGGAACAGGTGGGGGGAATAGAAAGGGTTGGACCCACTGGCCAAGTTCTACCTGCCTTGGACTTGCTACCCTGGGACAGGTGAGCTCTCTGCTCTGGGGATTGGGGGGCCTGGAAGGATGAAATGCCTTTTGGGACTCAGCACTGAGGAGCTTAAGTGAAAAATGGGTCTGAGCGATCTGGAGCCACTGAGCCTGACTGTTGACGTTGGAGATTTGCGGGGACCTGGTGGGGGTTCTGAGACTCAGGGTGGCTTCCCACAAGAGCTTGCCAAGCTCTTGGGAAGTAGCCAAGAGGCCCCCTGAGGGTCAGACCTTGCCTCTGGGACACACTGTGATGGGTTGGATCCCCGGTCTTCCCATCATGGAGCCTTCAGTCTGGTGGGAGAGGCAAACCGCATCCTAGACTTGAGACTCAATGGTGAGGAAAGCCATGAGAGAGAGCCTGGCAGGGAGTGAGGAAGGCTTTCTGGAGGAGGTGGACCTCTTTATAGATGAGGGAAGCACCCACTTGCTGATCCCTCTGCCCATTCCCTGAGCCAGCCCTGCCTGGGATCCTGGAGTCCCAAGTAGAGCGACCTCTCCTAAGGGCTGCCTTTGAGAACGAAGCACACTGCCCTTCCCCGGCTCCATGCCTGGCTACTTGGGCCCTCACTCCACTGCTCATTAGAAACAGTTGGCTTCTGGGTGGCAGCAGCCCTCCACCCTCACCTCTACCCTCTGTTGGCTTCCATGCACAGTCTCTGCAGGTGGCAGATGGTGGACAAGACTTGAAAGCCTGTTGTTTCCAAAGTGACACTGTCTAGAAGTGTCCCCCGGCCCCCAAGACAGGTGTGGTGCAGTCAGGCATCTCCTGTCACATCATGCCCACTTACCCTGTGCCCTGTGTATACCATAGTCCCTTTGGATATGGGGCTCAGGCAGGACTGTCTTCTCCCTACTGTGCCCCACCCCCATGAAGGGAATTCCATGTCCTTTTGGCCTGGAAACCTTCCTGGGAGCGTCCTAAGTTCAGCTCTATGAAGAAGCTGGGGACACTCCGGCTCCTGATAATTAGCAATCGTGAGCTGTAAGTTGGGCTCCAGGAGGGGACTTGGCTTCCTCAATGGCTGGTTGTGAGGATACAACAGATTAATGGAGGGAAAGCTCTGGAAGCAGGGCCAGTCACAGAGGAAGTGGCCAGGGACCATCAGGTATGGTTCTTAGCATTGCTATGAGCACAAGATGGGAGGCTGTCTGTAAAGGGCCTCGCTGGGGTTTATTGAACACTTACCATATACTGGGAATGGGATCTATGTTTCATGAGTGTGGTTCTGTTTAATCCCCCTGCCACCCAATGAGGTTGGTTATCCTCAGTTGCTCAGTTTTACAGATGGGGAATCTGAGGCATGGAGAGGCAGAGTGACCTGCCCACGGCCTGACATGAATATCAGTCTGGCTTTAGCCACCCCTGCTACCTTCACACAGGGCCTAACCGTGCTTGGGCCTCTGTACCAAGACCCCCAGGGGGGCCAGGTTGGCACTGACTCTGATTCGGACCCCTCTGCCTCACAGGAGCTGGTTGAATGGGTGCTGGAGGAGGTAGCCCAGAGTCCCTGTACAGTGGGAGCCCAAGGTGGCCCCCTCATCCTGGAGGTGGGCTGCGGATCGGGAGCCATCGCCCTCAGCCTGCTGAGTCAGCTTCCCCAGGTGAGCCCCCTCTGCATCCCTGTGCCCCACCCTGAGTAGACTGGGACTGCCACTCACTGTCCCTCCCACTGATCTTCCCCCACCCATCTCTGCTAGAAGCACTTGATGGGAGATGGCCAGATGTGGGAGGACAGGGCTGCCCCCAGCCCATCATGGTCACAGCCCCCATCCCCTTTTGTCTGGCCAGACCCTGGCTACAAAGAAGGGACAGCTGTTGGGTATTTCCCTCCTCTCTGGTACGGGGATGGAGGGGAGCTCTGGTCTCCAGGCCTGGCTTCTCTGGGCACCCTGCCTCCTATGTACCCTTTGTTTGTTCTTGGGGCAGAGCCGAGTCATTGCCGTGGATAAAGGAGAAGCTGCCATCTGCCTGACCCAGGAGAATGCTCAAAGGTAGGTGGACAGGGGTAAAAAGGGCCAGGATTGGGGAAGTCCAGCTTTGGGGCGTCTTCTCAATCCCTATTTAGATGTCTTACTCACTGATGTCTGCTTTCCACTCCTAAGAAAGGGGAGGTGGGGTGGAGCGGCCTGGCATGGACCCCACAGGGTTATGAAGGACGGTGGGCACCAGAGAGCTATCAGTCCAAGAAGGGTTTATTCTCATAGTCCTGGTAACCATGGGTAGGAGTCTTCCCGGTGCTCACTTCACTTCCCATCTCTCCAGGCTTCGGTTGCTGGACAGAATTCGGATCGTCCCCCTCGATGTGACCTTAGGTATCTTCCCTACTGGTCTTCCCTGGGGGGCTGGATCCTGGGCACTGGTGCTGCTCGGTGGATGGGCACTCTGCAGAAATGGAAGGAGGGCTTCCCCACCATTCATTTATACATGCCCGTGCACGCGTGCACACACACACGTACACGTACGGGGGATCTCAGACCAATCCCTGCTGAGGACAGGCAAGTCCCTGTTGCCTTGTGGGCTGACCTGACCCATGCAGGGACCGGCCACAGGGTCTTTCTTACTTTCTGAACCCCCCCATAACTAATGAGTTTTTAACTAGGGCTTGCTTGTTGTTGAGAGATAAGCAGAAGCTCAAGAGAAAGCTTTTAGGACCAAAATACTTTAATACTGCCTGCCCTGCCCCTGTGTCTGGCCCAGGCACGGTACATACAGCTCAGCCACACCTTTGCAGAGTGTCCTTGGGTTCTGGCTCGGGTTCTGGCTGCATTACGTATCCACAGGATCTTTGAGCCTCATAAGTGCCATCCCTAGAGTGCGGTACACCTGGTGTAGCACATGGCATCTGGATGGAACCAGGAAACAGAGTTGCCAGGAATTGACTGAAACCAGGCATGTCCTCCATACACTCAGTCCATATTGGCTAGGAGGCAGTGCATGGCTGGGCCAGTGGGGCTGCAGAGGACAGAGGCTCTTGCTTTGCCCAAGCAATCAGAGAGGGCTTCCTGAAGGTGGCACTTGAGCTGAGTTTTGCTTATTGAGGAGGTTTGTTTTTTTTTTTAAAGATTTTATTTATTTATTCATGAGAGACAGAGAGAGAGAGAGGCAGAGGGAGAAGCAGGCTCCCAAGGAGCAGGGAGCCCGATGCGGGACTCGATCCCAGGACCCTGGGATCATGACCTGAGCCGAAGGCAGACGCTTAACCATCTGAGCCACCCAGGCGCCCGAGGAGGTTTTTGACAGGAAGAAGAGAGGGCAAGGATATTCTAGGTGAAGAGCTGCCATGTCAGAGTATACACGCTCCTGACCAGTCTGCTGGCTGGGGACCCTGGGCACTAATCTGCAAGCCTGGGTTATCAGGTCCAGAGATAGGCCCAGGGTGTGGCCTGGGGAGAGGGACTACCCAAGGGACCTGGTGGCAGGTAGAGCTACCACCCATTCTCTGCGTTGTGTTCCCTTTGACTGTAGAGGGGAGCTGGGCGCACCTCCTGCCCTGGGGCCCCATGGACCTGGTCGTCAGCAACCCTCCCTACATCTTCCACCAAGACATGGAGCAGCTGGCCCCTGAGATCCGCAGGTGCAGGGTGTGGTGGGAGGGAGGCCGGGCCTGGGAGGGCCTAGTAGGATGTGTCTGCCCTGGGGGACTACACCATTGGGAGGTACAGGGAGGGAGAAGGGACTGAAAGGGGCAGCGATGTTGAAAGAAAGGCTCATTCTGGAGCCCACAGACCTACTTGGTTCAGCTTCTGCCTTCCCACTGAAGACCACTGGATAATCACAGAACCTCTCTGAGCCTGACCTTTGAAAGGGTAGTGGTAGACCTTTGCAGGGCCACGGGGAGGACCTAGCAATGACTCATGTATCAGATGTGGTATAGAATTACATAGAAGGTGCTCAGATGGGTACATCATTTTACAGAAGATTGAGGCCCGGAGAGGAAAGATGCCTGGTCCAAGGTCATGTGGGGGCTTAACAGGAAAGCGGGGACTAAGACCCTACTCCAGGCTTTGCACTGAACCATCCTGTTCTCAAACGATCTGAGAACCAGGGGTAGTCCAGAAGTCCTTGGACAAGGCAGCGGTAATGTGGGTCAGGGTGCTGGCTCCCCTTTTCCAGGTTTTCAGGAGTGGTTTGGGCCAGCTACAGGCCTCCCCAGACCAAGCATAGGAGCAGCCTTATTGTGGGGAGACCCTCATGCCCTGCTATATCCGTCAGTGGGATTCACTGAGCAGCCCAGCACTGCCTGGTGGGGTGCTACCTGTAGGAGGTAAGAGAATCAGAGCTGCCATTTGGGGGCCCTCTCTTCTGAGTCCTCAGATTTTCTGAGGCTGAGAGTGTAAGTTCCACGGGGTCCCTTTGTGGAGGGCCCTGCTCCGCTCTTCCACACTTTTCAGAGGCTCTAACCTTCCTCTGTTTCCCCTTCAGCTATGAAGACCCACTAGCCCTGGATGGTGGGGAGGAGGGCATGGACATCATTACCCACATCTTGGCCCTGGCACCTTGGCTCCTGAAGGACTCTGGGTATGGATAGGGCAGGTCTCCTGGGTCTGTCCCAGTGTGTACTGGGCCTGCCGTAACAGTCATTCTTACCCCACCCCTCCCAGCCCAGGCAACGCAGAAGTACAGGTCCCAGCCCTGCCTGGTTGAGCTGACCCATTTCTCCCCCATGTAGGAGCATTTTCTTAGAAGTGGACCCAAGACACCCAGAGCTTGTTGGCAGCTGGCTTCAGAGCCGGCCTAACCTGTTCCTTGATCTCGTGGCTGTGCGCAGGGACTTCTGTGGGAGGTGAGCTCTACCCACCCCTACCCCCACCACCACACCGGTCTTTCTACCCAGGCTATCCACAGCTCTGGCTGTAGGACTGTAGGGAGAGTGTACCGGTCCCACTCTCTGCGCATCCCCTGGGACCCAGGCAGTAAGTAACTGGCCTCTTGTCCCTGTCTCCTTAGGCCCCGGTTCCTGCATATCCGGAAGTCTGGGCGACAGCGTGGCTGCCCCGCAGATGCCTGGCCAGGGCCCCAGCCTGCCAGAGTGCCTGGCTGATAGTTCTCCCTGGAGAGCTACTTGGAGGGAGGTGATGGTACCTTCCAGAACCCAGATGCTTATGACATTTCCCATGATTCTGTGATTCTACATTTTTTTATGTTCTAGGAGACTTGGGGGTAGAAGCAAGGGTGGGGATGTCTTTCCTGGGGTGGCACAGAACAAGGGCATCCATAGTTTGGCCCAGAGCTGAGCAGACCCAGGTTCCTGGTCTGGTTCCATCCCATCAGCGTTGCCAAGGGCAGGTTGCTCAATGTCTCTGTGGGTGGAATTGCCTTGGGGATGTTGGGAGATAGGGCCAATAAAGTGTCGAGAGACCAACAAGTAGTGATCTAATGTGATCACTGTGATTTGTGGGTCGCCTGACCCCTTGTCCCCAGGCAGTGCTGGGGGTAGGAGCTTCCTCCTACCCCAGCAGGGCTGGCCATCAGTCTCCTACCTAGTGGGGGTGTGGGAGCATGGTGTGGAAAAAGGCACATGGGTGCCCCTCCTGGGCCTTGGATGCCAGGGGCCTTGGCACTGAGCAGCTCACTCCTGGGGGTTGACTTAGCCCTCCACTGCCCTGGGTGTGCTCTCACACACTTCCCTGACTGGGCCTAGGCTCTGAGCACAGGAATGTCATCTGAGCTTCAGCTCAGAGATGGCTGCCTGCTTGCTGGAGGGGAGTGGGCTGAGGGCCTGCACTGTTCTGGTATCACACATCCACGTTTATTTAATGGAAGGTTTGTGTCAGTGAGGAGTGAGCAGGGTTTATGTTTACTTTTTATTATCGTAGCTTTTGGTTAAAACATTCCTTCCAAATTGACCTTGGAGTTTCAGATCACTCCTCTGTCCCTGGTTGGGGCTGGGGAGAGCGAGAAGCCCACAAGAGCGGGCACCTGGTTGTGACCTCCACCCCTGCTCTGGTCTGTGCAGATGTGTGGCCTCCCGGAGCCTAGAAGCCCAGCCCTCCTGCCCATAGCGGCAGGAAACCTCCAAGTTGGCAGGTGCTGATGTGACCCTGCATCAGGTTGGGTTCTGAGGAACATGGCAGACCGAGCTGGCTTACCCCACTGGCACTTTCTTTTTCTTGTTTTTTTGTTTTGTTTGTTTTTTGCCTTTTTAAAAAATTATTATTATATAATGTATTATTTATTTCAGGGGTACAGGTCTGTGATTCATCAGTCTTACACAATTCACAGCGCTCACCATAGCACAT